CTTTCATGATATTTCCCAACAAACTAGTCCTTCATGATATTTCCAACAAACTAGTCCTTCATGATATTTCCCCACAAACTAGTCCTTCATGATATTTCCCCACAAACTAGTCCTTCATGATATTTCCCAACAAACTAGTTCTTCATGACATTTCCCCACAAACTAGTTCTTCATGACAGCAATGATATCCAAACTAGTCCTTCATGATATTTCCCAACAAACTAGTCCTTCATGACATTTCCCCACAAACTAGTTCTTCATGACATTTCCCCACAAACTAGTCCTTCATGATATTTCCCAACAAACTAGTCCTTCATGACATTTCCCCACAAACTAGTTCTTCATGACATTTCCCCACAAACTAGTTCTTCATGACATTTCCCAACAAACTAGTCCTTCATGATATTTCCCAACAAACCTCAGTCCTTCATGATATTTCCCCACAAACTAGTCCTTCATGATATTTCCCCACAAACTAGTCCTTCATGATATTTCCCAACAAACCTCAGTCCTTCATGACAATTCCCCACAAACTAGTCCTTCATGACATTTCCCAACAAACTTTCATGACATTTCCCCACAAACTAGTTCTTCATGACATTTCCCCACAAACTAGTTCTTCATGACATTTCCCAACAAACTAGTCCTTCATGATATTTCCCAACAAACCTCAGTCCTTCATGATATTTTCCCACAAACTAGTCCTTCATGATATTTCCCCACAAACTAGTCCTTCATGATATTTCCCAACAAACCTCAGTCCTTCATGACAATTCCCCACAAACTAGTCCTTCATGACATTTCCCAACAAACTAGTCTTTCATGATATTTCCCAACAAACTAGTCCTTCATGATATTTCCCAACAAACCTCAGTCCTTCATGATATTTCCCCACAAACTAGTCCTTCATGATATTTCCCCACAAACTAGTCCTTCATGACATTTCCCAACAAACCTCAGTCCTTCATGACATTTCCCAACAAACCTCAGTCCTTCATGATATTTCCCCACAAACTAGTCCTTCATGATATTTCCCCACAAACTAGTCCTTCATGATATTTCCCCACAAACTAGTCCTTCATGATATTTCCCAACAAACTAGTCCTTCATGATATTTCCCAACAAACCTCAGTCCTTCATGATATTTCCCAACAAACCTCAGTCCTTCAACCGATCTGCTACCCACCACAAGTTTTCTTATCATGATGCTACCTTTCAAGACACTTTCCATCAAAATATTTTCTTTCACAAAACACACTTCCCCAAACAACACATAATTTGGTGCATGTGTTATTCCCTTGATCAACATTAATGAACATCAAAACTTCATTCTTTTGTTTTGCAAGCCATAATTTTGGAACTCCTATATATATTTCATGACAAATGTCATCAAGTAAATGAGAGTAACAAATTAACAGTAAATGTATAACATTAATGTTACAGAAGCTGAGTGCATCAAGTGGATGGGGGGGGGGGGGGGGGGGGGGGGAGAGAGAGAGACTACACTTAGCTCTGTTTAAAAGTAGGCCATGATAAAGTCAGTTTTTACCGGTTACTCAGAGCCAACTGTGATGTATGGCAGTAAAGTTTTTTTTTTTTTTAAATCAGGTCTTAAAAGTTGAATTTAAAGCGTATACCCACACTTTCTTCAGTCGGCACCTGTGGCTTGGGCATTGTGAACTTGCTTCATAATTCTAAAGTACCTGGTTCGATCCCAGCTGTAGGCAACTGGCCAGCAGAATGTCTTGCGTTGGTTTTGACAGTGGTACCCAGAGCTGACCGTTCAGAAGCAATGACAAACTACAAAACATAAAATATGCTGGGAAAACCTCAACAGCCAAACAATGCAGGGGTTGGTTCTGCAGCATCCTGTGAAGAATATGCAACTAACTTGTTTTTAACCCACACATACCCAGACAAAAATCCTGCTTATATTCTTCACTTCTTCTTTTTACCAACTCGTCAAGAGAGATATAAGTTGTTTCCTGTGTATGTACTAGATATGTTTGTTGTTCATATTATACACTGTTTAGTTCCAGGTTAGATTTGGATGGCAAAAAAATGCTAGCAGCTAACAGTGGATCTATCATGCTGGATCTGACATTAAATTCACTGCAAAAAATCCTTATGATGTGTGTATTGCACAGATTGTTATGTATATAATTTGTTAAAAAGTGAAATAATGCATACATATGACAAAGCATACTTTATATGTGTATAAACAAAATGTATTCTAATGTCTTGAAATTATTTTAAGACATATGACCGAGTAAAATCTTTGTCTAAATATTTCTATGCATATAAAGAATGATGACTGTGTATACTGCCCTAATCCTCCACACACACATTAAGGCCCATATAAATATAAATAGTATATATATATATCTAGCCTGCTGAATAACAACAGAATATTATCATCGTAAAAAGTAAAAACATGTAAATGGTCTTTGATGCTTGGTGTAGTAGTTATGAGGAGCTTGACCCAGATTTTATAAACCGATCTGCATAAGACAGGCCATGAGGTCAACATCAAGCTCGAGCCTTTACCTTCTATGACATTTCCAGGTACCTGTTTTGGGCTGGGTGAACCTGGGAGCTCCCAGGTGACATATTAAGATCCATCTCTATGTGGATTTGAATCTGAGACCTCTAGACTAGCAGATGAGCATCTAACCGGTAAAGTCTCCATCTGGCTGTTCCCAGTCAGCATGGAACAATGTGTACCTTCTACGTGTGAACTATTCTTGATACCCTTTTCATGCCTTTAGCACATCCGGCTACACCTGTATTCTGATAGACCAGGTGACTCTCAATGGATGATATGGTCATCATTAGCCAGACAGGTGTAAAGTATACTAGGATGGATGTTGATATACTATATAAATCTGACTGATAAAATCAAATGACTGGCCAGAGTTTGGTTTTTCTGTGAACACAAATGACTGGCAAGAGTTTTGTTTTTCTGTCCATGACAAGACTAATCTGGTAACTACACAAGTCAATGGTTGAGGCAACCTCATTGACTCGGATTATCAATGACAACATGGCAAGACTAATCTGGTAACTACACAAGTCAATGGTTGAGGCAACCTCATTGACTCGGATTATCAATGACAACATGGCAAGACTAATCTGGTAACTACACAAGTCAATGGTTGAGGCAACCTCATTGACTCGGATTATCAATGACAACATGGCAAGACTAATCTGGTAACTACACAAGTCAATGGTTGAGGCAACCTCATTGACTTGGATTATCAATGACAACATGGCAAGACTAATCTGGTAACTACACAAGTCAATGGTCGAGGCAACCTCATTGACTCGGATTATCAATGACAACATGGCAAGACTAATCTGGTAACTACACAAGTCAATGGTCGAGGCAACCTCATTGACTCGGATTATCAATGACAACATGACAAGACTAATCTGGTAACTACACAAGTCAATGGTCGAGGCAACCTCATTGACTCGGATTATCAATGACAACATGGCAAGACTAATCTGGTAACTACACAAGTCAATGGTCAAGGCAACCTCATTGACTCGGATTATCAATGACAACATGGCAAGACTAATCTGGTAACTACACAAGTCAATGGTCAAGGCAACCTCATTGACTCGGATTATCAATGACAACATGGCAAGACTAATCTGGTAACTACACAAGTCAATGGTCAAGGCAACCTCATTGACTCGGATTATCAATGACAACATGGCAAGACTAATCTGGTAACTACACAAGTCAATGGTTGAGGCAACCTCATTGACTCGGATTATCAATGACAACATGGCAAGACTAATCTGGTAACTACACAAGTCAATGGTTGAGGCAACCTCATTGACTTGGATTATCAATGACAACATGGCAAGACTAATCTGGTAACTACACAAGTCAATGGTCGAGGCAACCTCATTGACTCGGATTATCAATGACAACATGGCAAGACTAATCTGGTAACTACACAAGTCAATGGTCGAGGCAACCTCATTGACTCGGATTATCAATGACAACATGACAAGACTAATCTGGTAACTACACAAGTCAATGGTCGAGGCAACCTCATTGACTCGGATTATCAATGACAACATGGCAAGACTAATCTGGTAACTACACAAGTCAATGGTCAAGGCAACCTCATTGACTCGGATTATCAATGACAACATGGCAAGACTAATCTGGTAACTACACAAGTCAATGGTCAAGGCAACCTCATTGACTCGGATTATCAATGACAACATGGCAAGAAATCCTCAATGATATGAATACACAATAATGTAACAGTTAAGACAATATTTAAAACATTCAATGAATCTAATAGAGATAGTTATCTAACTAAGAACACGTGAAACAGACACTATCAGTGTCTACCAACAATACATACAGCCAACAGAAGCTATCTATACAGAGTCAGTTTTCCCTGTACACCTATTTTATGTAACTAAATGTTTACAACAGCTCACCAGTAATGGAATAAATTTGGTTTCAAACTGATTTCTTATCTTCATTTGTTTTAATAACCAAAAAATAGGATGCTAATAGTAAAGTAACAAGTAAAAATAACTTTCCACATTGAATTTCTTCCCCCCCCCCCCCCCCCCCCCGCCCCCCCCCCCCCCCCCAAATTGGGCCTTGGTACCAACCACAGGGAGATGTCTATTAAAATGAAGGCATTTCTAAACAATGAAACTTCTGTTTTCACCTGCCAAATGCACAAGAGATTAGTTGGAACAGAATGTTCTCTTCAAAACAAATACCTGACTACATGCCAAATAAACATACTCTTATGGATAGAATTTCTCACTCTGCATTAAAACAACCAAATATTGTCCAATACGCGATTACACATAAAATAACCCACTCATGTAAGTAAAATGCACAAAAAACAATTAATCGACAAACCCCACATACCAGTTAGTATATTCAGCATACAGAAACCAATATTGTGATGTAGTAGATCAATTCATTACAGTCTATTAAAGTTCTCCTGAAAGTCTCAGTACTGAGTCTTGGTCTCATAGCTGCTGACTGTGGTGGTGGTGGTGGTGGTTGTAGCAGCAGCACCCGCTGGAGCATGTTGAAGCGTTTGCCAGGCTTTGTACATGAAGTAGGCATCGACAGCGTATACTATTAGGGCTGCAAACGTGAAGAACTGTCAGAGAGAAACGAAGAAAAAACAAATTAGATTTATGGCATATGCTGGCTGTGACGCCGAGGTGTATTTAAATCGCAGCCGTAGTTAAGTAAAGGATCATTTTTGCACCAATGGTGACTTGGAAATATGATGTTAGACTCCTATTTTTATAGAATAATCTTGGTGGGTGATGTAGTCAACAACATGACAGCCATGTAAGTTAGCTGCGCGGTCTTGAGGTATGTAGTCGGCCTTATGTGCTAGATGTCCTGGGTGAGGCCCAGGTGAGGGCTGGGATTTTTTTACGTGGACCTATAGTAATTTTCCCTAGTCTCTGGGTAGTGAGATTGGGCGCCCATGTGTATTGTTGCGCACCTAAAAAATCTCTTGGCAGCTGGAAATCGAAAAGAGTCGCTGACGGCGCTGACCAGGCAAAATTTGGCTTTAACAATTTTCACCAAAAATTTCAGGATCCTCGCTAGTGCTACGGAGCCCCTGCACTGCACTGAGCTACTTCAGATTCAGACTTGAGTTAGAAGTAGAATGGGGCACTTATGGGTTACTACCCGTGTGCCATGGTGTTGATCCGTTGTTCAAACCTCAAACCTCAAACCATGACAGCCGTCTTTCAGTATCACTGGACAGTTGTATTATAAATCAGTAAATTAAACTATATATTTTTATTTTTATATTTTATTTTTTTAAATATTATATTACAAATCAGCCTATGATACGTTCTACAGCACGCCAAGAATTAAATTATAGTCAATATTTCTAAACAATCTGTACAGCCACTAGTATCAACAGTTATAAGATAATGGTGATAAGCCGGATACATTCTGAGACAAAGCATCACAAAACAGGCACTGAAGTGAGAAACAAATGGATTCAGGAAGTGAGGACAGGACATCCAAGAGAAATATTCAAGATGATTAGCAAAACTAATATCTCCTACATAAATTGTTACATACAAATGTTACTTCAGCTTACAAAAGTTACTTTTTCTCCAAGTCCATGCTGTGTAGCGTTGGTAGTCATGTCTATCCACAACCTTCTGTCTTGTGTACTTTCAATCAACTCTGACACAGATGAACCTCCATGCCATGATGTCAGACTGTCCAGCATCTTTTCTCTGTTTCCCTCTGCCTCTCCTCCCCTCCAGCTTTCCTACTGTCACAATGTACTCTAGTTTTCTCCTTTTCATTACATGACCAAAAAATATAGATCCTCTCTTTCTGATATGGGCAATCAGTAGGTTCTAATTTGTTTCTGTGAGAGCAGTGCCCACACTGGATTGTCCTAGCCACTGTGCCTACAGAGGCATCCTCTGCTGCTTCAGCTTAACAAGGTTAAATCATAAATTATCAGGAATGATTATTAAGTATCTCCTAACTAAAACAAAAAAATTTAATTACTGAATTTTTGTTTTTAATCAAGAAAAATAGACTCACAGCAGTGGCTCCGATGGAAGCAGCTAAGTGGGCCCGCACTGCAGCAACAATGGCCGCGATGACAAACAAGGCCACGTATACACAATAGTAGATAAACTCCTGTTTGAGGATGGATTACAAGCATTAGTAGGATGGATATCAACTCAAAACAGCAAACAGCGTCAACACAGATCATCATAATTATCAATATCATTATCGTCAACATCCTCCCCATGTGGGTTTCAGGGGCCGGATGGGTGGGTGGATGGGGTAATTGACCCACTGCCCCTAACAAATAAGTTGTATAAAGGGACTAATTAAGGGTTTGCAGATATCAGTCTAGTTTCTAACCACAAAACAATGTAACAAATCCCCTTAAAAGGTCAAATGCAGAAGAAGATGAAGTCAACATCACCATCATTATCACTATAGGAACAGACAATTATGTCCATGAATACATTCAGCAAGATCATATAGGACCACTGCCTGTCACAATTTCTGTGTTGTTTACATTAATATTTTTACAGTTTTCTGAGGATATAAATCTGACACCCCTCCTCCAGCTGTGATAATATAAAAGTAGCAAGAGATGTCATACAATTCTACAGAGCAGTCCTCCTAAAGACAGCCCTCCTAAAGGCACCCCTCCCAAAAACAGTTCTTCTTAAGGCAGCTCTCCTAAAGACAGCCCTCCTAAAGACAGCCCTCCTAAAGACAGACCTCCTAAAGACAGCCCTCCTAAAGACAGCCCTCCTAAAGACAGACCTAAAGACAGCCCTCCCAAAGACAGTCCTCCTAAAGACAGACCTCCTAAAGACAGCCCTCCTAAAGACAGCCCTCCTAAAGACAGACCTCCTAAAGACAGACCTCCTAAAGACAGACCTCCTAAAGACAGCCCTTCTAAAGACAGACCTCCTAAAGACAGACCTCCTAAAGACAGCCCTCCTAAAGACAGACCTCCTAAAGACAGCCCTCCTAAAGACAGCCCTCCTAAAGACAGCCCTCCTAAAGACAGACCTCCTAAAGACAGCCCTCCTAAAGACAGCCCTCCTAAAGACAGACCTCCTAAAGACAGCCCTCCTAAAGACAGCCCTCCTAAAGGCAGTTCTCCTAAAGACAGCCCTCCTAAAGACAGCCCTCCTAAAGACAGCCCTCCTAAAGACAGTCCTCCTAAAGACATCCCTCCTAAAGACAGTCCTCCTAAAGACAGACCTCCTAAAGACAGCCCTCCTAAAGACAGCCTCCTAGAGACAGTTCTCCTAAAGACAGCCCTCCTAAAGACAGCCCTCCTAAAGACAGCCTCCTAAAGGCAGTTCTTCTAAAGACAGCCCTCCTAAAGACAGTCCTCCTAAAGACAGTCCTTCTAAAGACAGTCCTTCTAAAGACAGCCCTCCTAAAGACAGCCCTCCTAAAGACAGCCCTCCTAAAGACAGCCTCCTAAAGGCAGTTCTCCTAAAGACAGCCCTCCTAAAGACAGCCCTCCTAAAGACAGTCCTCCTAAAGACAGACCTCCTAAAGACAGACCTCCTAAAGACAGCCCTCCTAAAGACAGCCCTCCTAAAGACAGACCTCCTAAAGACAGTCCTCCTAAAGACAGCCCTCCTAAAGACAGTCCTCCTAAAGGCACCCCTCCCAAAAACAGTTCTTCTTAAGGCAGCTCTCCTAAAGACAGCCTCCTAAAGGCAGATTAAAACTGATTAGAGACATTAGCCCTTTCGCCCAAAAAGCCTAAATGCAGTCACTTCCAGTTGTGCTATGTTCTCCATAAATGCCAATATATATTGTCATGTCTTGAGTATCCTGTTCTCGAAAAATGAAATTAATTTCCATTGGGCAAAAGTGTGCCTGTGCTGTGAACAGGATATGAAGATATCTACAACATACCCTGTCCGTACACTCTCTCAGACTGCTGCCCGTCCATCCTCTGATGCTGTCCTGCCACTTGTATTGCTGCGCCTTTCCACTCTCTTGCTTTCGACGTTTCCCTCCAGTATGGTTTTTAACAGCATGTTATGTCTTTTAATGTGGCCAAAGTATTTCAATCGTCTCTTTTTTATTTCTTTTAGTTAATTCAATTTTAATTTGCAGCCTTTCCAGAACCTCTGTATTTTACTGTTTTTGTTTCCATTAAATATATACTACTCTTCTGCATACCCACATTTGCAGAGACTCAATTCGATTTTCTAGTTGCTTGTCTATTGCCCAAGTTTTGCACCATATAGCAGATTGGGGATACATAACATCTGACGATTCTCATTTTTAGTGTGTTGTTTTTCTCTCTATCTGAAATCGGATGTCCTGGGCTGAAAGGCACAAATACTGCAGCCTAATTGTAAACTGCGATATAATACACTAACCGCCCTTTTAAGGGCGGACATAGATGAAGAAATGCAAAACGGTTTTCAGAAAACCAACAAAGGTTTTCTGCGTCACTTCTTTTTCCTACTGTCTATTAATGTCTGTCAGCTAGTCATTGTTTTCAAGTGTAGGGGACATTTCAACAAGTGTTGCTAATTTTATTGTTTGCTGGAAGAAAAAAAAATATTCTCTAGCCACAACATAAACATTCACTTTAATATTCGTGATTGTTTTTTATTGCGAGGATGACTAGTTTTACTTCCTCTTCTTCTTAGCGTTCACCAGCTAGAAAGTTCTGGTTCTTTGTCCATTTCTGAAATTTGGGTGCGTTCCAGAACATGAGTTTTGCATTGCATATCCATTTCACAGATATGGTTTATTTGTATGCAGAATGCTGGTTCCTCCAACAGTATGCAGATGCACTCTGACTTTGAGGGAAACTCTACTTCTCATTTTTATTTTGTTTTCCTTGGTTCAAACAAAAAATATTCAGAAACAACAAATTCATAATCTTCTTGTTTTTCTATGTTTATCCAAAGATGTCAATGTTTTGTGCATGCGATATTGGTGCCTTTTGGACCATGTACATCCAACATCTGCAGGCACGTGTTGCCTTGGTTAGCCTCCCCGGTTAGTTCAAAATTATTTCTTTGCCCATATACTTACAAACACATTACTAACATGTACATATATAGAAGAATTTACTCATGTACACATATGCATATACTCACATACACAATTACTAACATGTACATATATGGAACCATTTACTCACATACACAATTACTAACATGTACATACATGGAACCATTTACTCACATACACAATTACTAACATGTACATATATGGAACCATTTACTCACATACACAATTACTAACATGTACATATATGGAACCATTTACTCACATACACAATTACTAACATGTATATATATGGAACCATTTACTCACATACACAATTACTAACATGTATATATATAGAAGAATTTACTCATGTACACATATGCATATACTCACATACACAATTAATAACATGTACATACATGGAACCATTTACTCACATACACAATTACTAACATGTACATATATGGAACCATTTACTCACATACACAATTACTAACATGTACATATATGGAACCATTTACTCACATACACAATTACTAACATGTATATATATGGAACCATTTACTCACATACACAATTACTAACATGTATATATATAGAAGAATTTACTCATGTACACACATGCATATACTCACATACACAATTAATAACATGTACATACATGGAACCATTTACTCACATACACAATTACTAACATGTACATACATGGAACCATTTATTCACATACACAATTACTAACATGTACATATATGGAACCATTTACTCACATACACAATTACTAACATGTACATACATAGAACCATTTACTCACATACACAATTACTAACATGTACACATATGGAACCATTTACTCACATACACAATTACTAACATGTACTTATATGGAACCATTTACTCACATACACATATGCATGTACTCACAATAAAGTTCCATGGTCCTGACAGGCGTGAGTGGACGTTGAAGAAATGGAAGATGAACAGGATAATGGTGGTTATCATTGCAGAGGCTGAGACAAACTGCACCCAGCCACCTCCGAGGTGGTACCAGTAGTCAATCGATGCACAAATCAGCACCAAGATGCATAGGATCTGTACAGACATATAAACACATAGTGTCTGATATAGACATTCAATCACATAGTATCATTAATAAACATACAATCACATAGGATCTGTACAGACATATAAACACATAGTGTCTGATATAGACATTCAATCACATAGTATCAGTAACAGACATACAATCACATAGGATCTGTACAGACATATAAACACATAGTGTCTGATACAGACATTCAATCACATAGTATCATTAATAAACATACAATCACATAGGATCTGTACAGACATATAAACACATAGTGTCTGATATAGACATTCAATCACATAGTATCATTAATAAACATACAATCACATAGGATCTGTACAGACATAAAAACACATAGTGTCTGATACAGACATTCAATCACATAGTATCATTAATAAACATACAATCACATAGGATCTGTACAGACATATAAACACATAGTGTCTGATATAGACATTCAATCACATAGTATCATTAATAAACATACAATCACATAGGATCTGTACTGACATATAAACACATAGTGTCTGATATAGACATTCAATCACATAGTATCATTAATAAACATACAATCACATAGGATCTGTACAGACAAATGAACACATAGTGTCTGATATAGACATACAATCACATAGGATCTGTAGACACATAAACACATAGTGTCTGATATAGACATACAATCACATAGGATCTGTAGACACATAAACACATAGTGTCTGATATAGACTTACAATCACATAGGATCTGTACAGACATATAAACACATAGTGTCTGATATAGACATACAATCACATAGGATCTGTACAGACATATAAACACATAGTGTCTGATATGGACATTCAATTACATAGTATCAGTAACAGACATATATTCATGTAGGATATGTACAGACACATAAACACATAGTGTCTGATATAGACATACAATCACATAGGATCTGTAGACACATAAACACATAGTGTCTGATATAGACATACAATCACATAGGATCTGTAGACACATAAACACATAGTGTCTGATATAGACATACAATCACATAGGATCTGTAGACATATAAACACATAGTGTCTGATATAAACAATCAATCATATAGTATCAGTTATAGACATACAATCACATAGGATCTATACAGACATGAACACACAGTGTCTGATATAGACATTCAATCACACAGGTTATACTTATTCAATCTCATGGTACCTGTTACTAAGATTCACATAGACGCTGTTACAGAAAACATTTCAAATAATATCCATTTTAGACATACAATCACATGTTATCTAGCGGGTCATGCGTCTTAGTACACGTGTTCCTGCAACAAGGCACTGTCATAATATTTAAAGTTTGATTCCTGGCTTGGCAATTAGAGCTTTGGATTTGTATGTTGTTTCTATAAGTTCAGATCAATACACATCTTTTTAGTTTGTTATACAGGAGAAGGAAAAAGCTCTGGGCTAGACAATGTAAGTATCGAAAAAGTCAGACAAAATTCAGGATTCTGGCACTGATACCGAAAATTTGTTTAACTCTTTTATGTCCCAATCAATACACTAAATGTGATAAGCAACTCTCCCAGTGTATTAATTAATATTGTTGGTATGGGCCTCGAAGCTTACAGTTTGACGGTCTGACAGCCAGAAACTCAAAAGAGTCAAAAGAGCAAGAAGCAGAACCTTATATCTCCTCCGTCACCTACAGCGGTGAAAGAGGAAGGGAAGAAGAAGGTAAGAATCCAACATTGACAATTCACAGATGCCCTGTTCAAGCATATTTTTTTTTTTTTAAACCTGTACTGGAGCACCCTATGGGGTCCACACACACACAAAACTGCTGTCCTGTGTGGGTGGAGGATTCAACATGGCTATCTAGTCACACACTGTGTATTGCAGTGGTCTCCAACCTTTTTCAGGTCACCCCCCTCTACCCCTTGAGTATATGGCTAGACCCCAACCCCTCCTTCGAGTATACGGCAAGACCCCCGTTGCCCCATGAGTAGAATGCAAGACCCCCATGCCGCCTTGGGTATACTGCAAACCCCCCCCCCCCCCCCCCCACGCCAACAAAATGTGGTTATAAACAACAGATGGTATGGAGATACTTTTTAGTCAGAATGTGTTCTTAATCTGTAATTAATCATGTATGTCATCCTAATAATTAGATTTTTAACAGTAGATTTAGAAACTGCTCAAGAAAACAAACATGTCCTTGTCATTCTGTTTAACAAATAGTTTTTTAACATATTATATTTCTCTTTACACTAAAACAAAATGTTATTATAAGGGATTATTACAAGTACAAATACACTGACTTTCAAAATTGCCTGAGCACCCTGAAACTTTGCTGTGTCCCCCTAGAGGGGCACGCCCTTCAGGTTGGAGACCACTGGTGTATTGTTACATCTTTTACACCAGGGTTTTTCAACTGGTGGCCCATGGGCCAAATCTGGCCCGGGGAGGCTGTTGTAGTCTCAGCTGGGTGACTCATAAAATGTAAATTAACAGGGAGAGGAGAGGTCAGAGGTCATATATGTTAACAAATTTCAAGCTGGGTCCATGTGATGATGTGATGCTTTTATTAGTGTCAGGATGAAACTGGTATCAAGTGAGAACAAGAACTGGACATCATACATTATTTTATTCATACATCAAGTAACAGTAAACATTATCAACAGCATCAACATATTAAATACAAGTACTGGAATGTGCACATTCCCAACTACAGTAATTAAAACAAATCTAGGGAAAATGTGCGTCATTTATAAAATACTTTTATTTTCAATGGAGCAGGTAATCTGTGCTCAGATAAATAGTTTCTGATTGTATGTTTAGGGACTAGTGGTATTTTTTTATTTGCTGTGAAAGATGGTTCCACAACTGAGCTGCGGAGTACACTAAACTTGTTTAGTATAGGTCTATCCCAGGTTTAGGGATATATAATATGTTTGGGCGTTTGCTATGCCTTCTAATATATTCAAACAATGGCCATAAGTAACATGGAGCCTTGTAGTATAATATTGTGTGAATAAATTTAGCCTTACTAGTAGCATAAGACCTTCATATGCTTTGGAACTGACTGTCCAATGATTATTACAAATTTTTTTTGTTTTTAAGTGTATAGAAACCATCAGTTGTAAACCCTTTGGCTTGGTACTATGGATATCGCAACCCTTCGGCTTTGATTCCATGAAAGATACCGTAAATCTGGGAGAAATATGGCTTGTCTGCCTACCCCCGGATGTGAACTTGGACCATAAGGAGTTTGTTTAACCAACTGTGCTAGGGAGCCAGAATTATTACTGATTAAGAGGCAGAGGGAGACAGAGAAAGCTAGATGCTGGACAGTTTGACATCACTGCATGAAAGATCAGAATTGACAGAAAGTACAAGACAGAACATGGATAGACATGACTAACAAGGTCACACAGCATGGATTAGTAGAAGAAGAAGACTGGCGGGTTATGTGGTCAACATTATGCTGGCCACCTTTGCCTCCTACACCATTACATAGTAAACATATATCCTTTGTAACAAGAGTTACCACTCTTGCTGTTTTGCCAAAGCTATTGTCCTTTCCTGGAAGTTAAAGAGTTACACATTTCCAACAAGAAGAACTTTATAGACCTATCAAAAAATCAATTACTTCCCTTCCACAGAACTGTGGATCAATAGATATTGAAGAGGATAGAACAATCAGCCTCATCAGTCATGTGAGGACATTTGGGTTAATACTTCAAGCACTGGCGGCCAGTAACCTAAGCCAATTTGTATGTCTGAGCTTTAAAACTGGGATGAAGCAAAAGTTGTGTCTGACATGATTTACCAGGCTATTTCATTCTGTCCTCCCATCATTTACAAATATATTACCCCACTCAGTTCCTCATAGTTGTTGTTTTTCGCTTATTCTATTGAAAAACAGATGTTAATTTCACTCACTCTATCCAAAACAGTGGTTACTTTATCATTCACTTTAACTTATTCTATCTGAAGCAGCTGTTATTTTAACTCATTCTACCTGAAGCAGCTGTTATTTTAACTCATTCTACCTGAAGCAGCTGTTATTTTAACTCATTCTACCTGAAGCAGCTGTTATTTTAACTCATTCTACCTGAAGCAGCTGTTATTTTAACTCATTCTACCTGAAGCAGCTGTTATTTTAACTCATTCTACCTGAAGCAGCTGTTATTTTAACTCATTCTACCTGAAGCAGCTGTTATTTTAACTCATTCTACCTGAAGCAGCTGTTATTTTAACTCATTCTGACTGAAACAGGTGTTGCTTTAATTCACTCTATCTGTTTAAATCAGTTGGTAATTTAACTTGTTCTATCTGAAGTGTTGGGAAATAATCAGGCAGATAGACAGGCTCGCACGGGTGAATTTACGCATGACAAGCTAGATGTGGTCAAGGCCCCGTGGAAGCAAGTGAACAATGTAGAGGCAGGAATGGACCATTATGGTCTGGACAGAATGGTACAGCTGGGAGTGGCCAATGGATCTGGTTGACACTGTATACTTAGAGGAAAAGCAAGATGGTCTTAAACCACTACTGGCACCATCAGAATTATAACTCTTCACTGGCTGCTGAAGATGAGAACGGAGCACTTATGGGACATTTTTAAAGAGTTGTGATGACAGTTCTTAGCTCAAAACTCAATATTGTATCCAAAACAGTTGAGTTGATACTTTAGAATTTACTTTAATGAAATATTTCTCATTGAGCTTTCACTTCAACTCATTCTATCTTATTTTTATCTTATTTCATCCAAAATAGTTACTTCAACACATAAAAAATACAAAATATAGGTTTTTTTTTTTGTAGGATATACCATTAACTGATGAGAATGCCAAGTGACAACAAATAGGATAACAGTGGGAAACATAAAGAAAAATATACTATAAAAGATACCATCATTGGTAATGATTTTTTACCCATACACCAAATAAAAATGTGTATATGAATTATGTGCTTGGTATGTTTCATCCTCTGCTACTGCTTCGTCTTCTTCAGCATTTCGAAGCAAATATCAACCTCATCTGTTTATCGGTGATAAGTCTTCTCCGTCCAGCTGGTGTCCCGCTCTATGGCTTTGAGGTTGGTGACATCGTTTCATATCCTTAACGTTTATCAGGGCCTGATTCTTGTAGTGAGCAGTTTAGAAAAACACCCTGACTTTCAGACAGTCGTAGGAGAGTCATGCCTTGGGAGAGATTGAGACCTCACCATGTAATATTCCCAAAGTCAACAATGGATACACTGAAGCCAACCTTCACTGTGGAGATAGCACAATTTGTTGTTAGTTGTTTCAGGTTGCTAACTCCATGAGTTTCTAGATCTGCCTGTATATTATCTCCCCACTATCTTCCTGGTCTGCCTTATGGTCTTCTTCTTCAGCCTTCTATCCCCCAGTGGAGCAGAGGCCCTCAAACAACTCACACCAAGTCATTATATCCTTTGCTATCGCATGCAGTTAACCCCCCATGTCCTCCGCACCTTTTCAACTTCACTCTCAAAATCACTTCGCCATGTGTCTTTTATTTTAGTCTGCCTTTATTTCTATGCCCCTGTGGCTTCCAGTGCAAACAAATTCTAGTTATATTGTTCTCAGCCATTCAACTCTTTATGTATACAGTGTGTTTATTTCCTCTGTGTTACCCGTCATCTCTCTACATACACTGACCATTGCTTAATGTCCTTATGAAACACAAAACATATACATCATACAAAATTATGGGACTTACAATCTCTGCAATCTTCAGGAGTCCATTGACGGACCTGACATACTCCGGGTGAGCTCTGATTGGTGGAGGTCCTGACCTTGTCTCTGTGGTGTGCTCATAAGCTGTGGCTTCCATGGTGACTGCTTACACAGCTACTGTTTACCAGCCAGATAATAAGTGTGATGTGGCTGGGATGAAACCTGGTGAGATACATAACAACAAATATAACATGTGAAACATGATTCAGAGCATTTAGAGTAGATAATCATCACCATGTGTTCAAGATGGCCGAGATGTTTGTCTCTCTCCACACATTATGATCTCTAGGGTTTTATATCAGCTCTTTTCTTCTTTGCCTTCTTCTTCTTTTTCTTTGTCTTCTTCTAATTCTTCTTCATCATCATCTTCTCCTTCTTTTTTTCTCTTCTTCTCATTTTTCTTCCTCCTGTTCTTCTTCTTCTTCTTTTTCTTTTACATTCATCTTTAAAGGGGTGGCAGGCATGTTATGATGTGGTTTCAGTCCTTAGTGGGTCATTTATGACATGTTTGTTATGGGGTGTTGAGTCAATTATTCCCTTACCTCCCCCCCCCCCCCTTTTTTTTTTTACACCAAATGGGGACCCAAAACATGCAGAGGGAAATGAGTTTTAGTGATGATATTTCTTCATGCCGCCATCTTACACCATCCTGTACTGTATCCTTTGGTATGTTTCTGCTTAATCAGTTATCATGGTTCATCTCTTCTCATCCTTTGACCAAAGAAAATTGCTTCTTATGACTGTACATAATGCTCTGCTTTCATGAGCTTATCATGGATAACTGTTGTTAGCCATTCTGACTGCCCAAGGTATTCATAGTATGAGTTGCACAATAGCTGGTGCATGATTTGTTTTTATATCTTGCTCATTTTTTAGTATTCTTTCATGATGTGTTTTCAGATTGTGTGTTTACAATGTGTATTCAAAATGTGTATTTAGAAATGTGTGGTCAATACATGTGCTTGGAACATGTGCTCATAATGTCTGCACAGAGTTTATTTAGAATGTGTATTCAGAATATATATTCAGAATGTGTGATAAAGTAACCAATTAGCCCATAACATATAACAACTACATGATATATATAAGGAGCTAAGAAATATGATTTTATTTAAGTAACCATTTTACAACTGATTGACATGTAAAGAGCTAAGAAACATATGATTTAATAAGTAACCAGTTTAATTACCATGAAAAAAACTGCATGACAGTAAGGAGCTAAGGTTATTATGCACTTTATAAAGTAACCAATTGACATAACAAGTGCATGAGACAAGAATTCAGAAACAGCAGCTCATTAAAACAATCACTTAACATTATAATGCAATGACTGCATGAGACATGATTTCAAAATGTGTTAACTTATAACATAGCATGTATGAGACATAAGGTGTTTAGAAAACAAACTGGTTTATAAAGCATTCAGTTAACCTATAACTTTGAAAAGTAAGATCTCCACTACTGCTGGTCCCAAGTCTGGATGAGAAAGGAGGAGAGTTGGGAGTACGACCAGCTCCTCCACCCTGTTTTTAAAAAAGTAAATACTACACAAACTCTTAGAATAGGAAGCTCTAAGATAAAAGTTGATGAGAGAGACCAAATGTGCTGGACTGGAACCCATCTATGACACTGAAATAACCTGCACAGGATAGAAAGCAACAAAGGAATAAACTCGGGTCCTATGTGACGCATAAAGGCACATCAGGATGATGTTATGACATAAAGAGTTAACACAATAATGTGGTTAACAAAGTACAGTTAACATTTACCAACTGTTTAGTAAAAATGAGTTTCACACTGAGAAGTAGTGATATACAACAGTACTGTAACACTACACAGCATTTACTGCATGAACAGCTGACAAATATAGCTGTGTTCTGCCACAACTTCTCTAACAATTTAAACTAATTGTGTATCTTTTACAGGGCATTGCAGAACTACCCCCCCCCCCCCTCCCCCCCTTTTCCGCAATTTTTAAAACTATTTTGTGGTTTAGCAGCTAATTTTACGATTGGCAGTTTGCCACTGCTTCCTCAACGGTCAGTGTTCTTTACCACTGTCAAAATCAACGCAGTGGTCTGTTATCAAAACCCCTGAAGCTTCATCTAACCAGGTATTTGTGAATTGTGAAGTGCAATCATAATGCCTAAGCCACAGTCTCCACATCTCTAATTATAACACAAAAAATAAACAGACTCATGAAAGACAACAGCCTCAATACTCTGCACACTAATTAAACACAGGCTGCAGGATGAAGTGATGTTAACTAGCAAAGATCAAATATGAAGCTGGGGACAGTGATTCTATGAGGGTGTATTTGCATTACCATACAAGGAACGACACAGCTACATGAAATTTTGTTCAAGATTTAATGATGGAATTTTGACACAGAAGCAGACATAATGTGTTAAGGAGAGCCAGCTGGATAGAAAGTGGGAAATTCCAGACACAGGGGATAAAGACAGAAAGAGAAATTATGAGTTAGAATAAACAGAAAGAATAGTACAAAATACTGATTAGACAATCTACTATCTCTGTCAGCATCTCTTTCTCTCTCACTCTCCAACTTCTCTCTCGCTGAATGTACCTGTTTGTCTCTCTCCTTTCCTAGATTTACTGTTAATTACTATATTAAGATCTATTATGGTTTACAAAAGGAGAGGTTTGGTTTGGTTTAGTCATTTAGTCAGAATACAGCCAGAACAACTACCAATGCAGGCGCTACACATGAAAGGATCTGAAGTGAAAACAAGAGGCCGTCCTAGGAGAATATGGACTGATGACATTAAAGAGCTTCTGTACTGACAGGGAATGACAGTAGCCATTGCTGCCCATCAAGCAATGGATCGCAAACTGTTCCTCCCCACAACGCTTAAGGGTAGAAGTGGAAACTGATAATGATGATGATGGTTTACAAAAGCAGGTATGCTGGGCCTGTGTGCCCCATTCTTAACAATCGACAACAAAGTTCATATGTTTGTTCATTTACTGCCTGCCTCCCCCCAACCCCGTTCTCTCTCTCTCTCTCTCTCTCTCTTTCTCTCTCTCTCTCTCACACACACACACTAACTGTCTGTCTTTCAGTCATCTGTTTGTTTCATTCACTGTCTATCTCCTCTCTCTGCCCGGCTCTCTAGCGTAATTGGCTAAACCGGATTGCGCGGAGACCGGGTGACGAACTCCTTGTGGTCCAAGTTCAATCCCGGGGGTAGGCAGGAAAGCCACATTTTCTCCCAGATTTATGGTATTTACAATGGAATCAAGGCCGAAAGGTTGCGATATCCATAATACCGAGCCTAAGGGTTAAAAACTCATGGCTTCTGGATACTAAAACAAAAAACAATCTTCTCTCTCTCTAGAAAATCTGCCTGGTTGTGGTAGCAGTCAGTAAAGTAAATGTCTCTCGCTGCACCATTAGCCCAGCTGGCATATTGTTCTAAACCCACATTTAATAAACTAATTAGTGCTTGATGGGTAAAATGGTAATTATTTTGTCAGCCACTCTTACATCTCAGAACATGTGGCCCTTAGCGTAGGCTACCCTTGACAACTTTTGCAGTACTAAGCAGTTGTTATAGTAACCCCTTCCATTCCAATGAGCTCAGCCTAACAGTAACACACTCTTATGTCGAAATAGGCTCAAAAGATACAATATGGAGCATAAGTAGTTAAACTAACAATAGAAATACAATGGATTAATGTCATGCTTGTCTTTGATAGAAGACATCATATTATCTCTTGGATGACCCTAAACAAATGAGCCCAAAAAACGTTTGGAGAGTAATTTGGTAGTGAAACAATTAATTAGCTATCAATGCTTGTGTTTATTGAGTCATTCTCCTCATGGTCCATTCTGTGTGGCATTAGTAGTCATGTCTATCCACAACCTTCTGTCTCGTGTACTTTCAATCAATCTGACACACAGGTGACGTTTCATGCCATAATGTCAAACTGTCCAGAATCTTCTCGTTCGGTCTCCCTGTCACTCATCTCCTCCAATTTTCCCACTGAACTCCAGTTTTCTCTTTCTCATGACATGACCAAAGAATATAAATTATCTCCTTCTGATGTGGATAATCAGTTCTATTCGTGAGTCAGTTTCTTTCAAGACATTTTTATTAATTAATCTTCTTATCTGTCCAGGGTATTCTCATCATTTGTCCACAAAACCACATCTCCACACCTTTCAAGCAATATTTCACTAATCGACCAACTGTCCATGGTTCAGTAATAATGACTAAGTTGTTACTCAAGGATTTTCTATGGAAGGAAAGAAAAACTAAGCATTCCTAATTGATACAGATGAGAGTTATAATTTATCAGAAAAATCAGACGTAGACAGTCAATATTTGTTGGACCTAGAGTTATGATATGTTAACACAATCAACGTCTTTGCACATTGGGCATCTCCATGCGTGCTCAGTCATCCGATGCAGCAGCCACTTTAAGGTACCTCTACTTATTGTACCCATGAGGAGTTGGTTATAGTATCTCCTGTCTTTACCTCTAAGACGGCATATTCGTGCTTCACCAGGCTTAACTTCTTGGTCACGAAGTCGTGTTAGCCTCAGAGATTCACCATTATCTCCCAATCTAATCCGTATGGCATTGATGATATCAACTCTGTCCATGCTTTTTAACATTTGTATTGGTGCATTACTTGCCAGCTGGTCAGCTCTTTCATTACCATTTACTCCTGCATGCCCAGGTGTGTAGATCCAGATGATGGAGGTTAACTGCGACTTCCAAATGCTTTCTAACCATTCTAACCTTAGTTTACTACAGTTGGTAGTCAATGCTGAAGTCTAATTGTCTATCTGAAATCCCTACCAGGGGTTTCAGGTGGAGTTCCAGGTGGAAGTTCCAGCATAGCTGCAGGTGCCCGATTGTCTAGACTGGACTAGAAGATTTGACCTTCCTGAAGTGTCTCCGAGGCTGACCCAAGGAGCACAAACAACAGATGAGTGAATATCAATCCACTTCGTCAATCTGTAATCCATCAATTAGTATTTTTTTTTTTTTTGCAGTCCAAGGATCAGCTTACTCCAAATTAATTACCCGATTGTTTTAATGTTATTCTAGTTTTGTGGAGTTTAT